CTCGAGCCTCTCCTTAGCAAGACATTAAGTTACTGGGTTGAAGGGAATGGGGCGGCAGAGCAGGAGGGACAGGGAATGTCTCACAGGGCGCTTGGTTTCTGCCCCCGTGGCAGAAGGAATCACAGGGCAAACGCTCCTGGAGTCAGAGCACAGGGCACATGCAAGACCCCCACCCTGGCACAGGTGACCCCCCCATCTCCAGAGACCTCCCCAGAAGGGCCTGAAGAGCTGCAAGAAGGGAAAGCTCCCTTGTCGCAATCAGTCCTTCACCCCAGGGCAGCGCCAAGTGGCCAGTCCTCGTGCAGACCCTGAGATCGTCCCGTTGCAGCAGCCAGAGACCTTCCCCCTTCACAGTCCCGCCAGCATCCCACCGCTCAGATCTTCGAGGACTCCACCCGCTCGATCCATGGCGAGTCGGCCCCAACGTCCCTGGGCTCCGACCGCAGCTGCCGCAGCTCCCGCTCCAGCACCTGGCTCCGGTGGTACATCTCCATATAGCTGGCCTGGAGCTCCCGCTGGTACCGCAGCACCTTCTCCTTCTCCTCCTGCCAGGTTTTCCTCTCCAGCTCAAAGTTCACAGCCTGCAGCTGGCCCTGGCGCCGCTCCCGCAGCAGCTCTGCCCACAGCCACTCCACCTGCCGCTCCAGGGGCTCCGCTGTGTCACTGTGAAGGCCCCGACACTTGGAGTCATCAGTTTCGCAGCCGGGGAAGTCCTGGCACGCCGGCATGGGGTCGTCACCCAGCGGCAGCGAGGCGCCAGGCTCTGGGGGGCTCTGGAAGGAGTCTGCCAATTGTGCCAGCTGGGAGTCCCTGGCCTGAACCTCCGCCTTGGCCTCCCGCAGCTGCGTCTTCAGGCTGAAGATCTCGCCCAGCTTCTGAGCCATCTCCTCCTGGGTATCCCGGAGCTGCTGCTTCAGTAGGGAGATCTCTGCTGCCTTCTGGCACACCTGCAGGGCACAGGCGAGCAGTGAGGAAAGGTTGGAGGAGCCGGACCCCAGGGGTGGCAGCACCCCAGGCTGTCACCACAACATTCCTGGGAGACCACGAGCATCACACCTGGCTCGTCCCCTGCCGTCCTGTGGCCATGAGTGACACCAGCGCA